TGGCCAGCTGGCCCCCAGCCTGTCCTGCGACGTGCATCCTGTCTCCAGCACAGGATGCTGCATTTGCCTTTGACCTTCATGGGGTTCCTGTCAGCCCCTTTCTCCAGACTGTTGAGGTCCCCCTGAATACCAGCCCTGTATTCTGTCACTCTCCCCAGTTTAGTTTCTTCTGCAAACCTGCTGAAAGTGCACTCCACTCTGCTATCCCAGGTTACTGGTGAAAATGTTTAACGGTATTTTCAGACCCAGCATCGCTCACTGATGGGAGTTGGGCTGGTCCTCTGGCCACAGTCCTGGGGCAGCCAACGGTGCTGGCTTCTTCTGTGGGAGCATGAGTCTGTCCCTCAGTGGCTGTCCCAAACTTTGTGGTGACAAAAAAGATGAAGACTCCCTTTTTACAAGGAGTCACATGGAAAAGGCACAGGGCAATGGGTGCATGTTACTCCTGGGGAGGTTCCGGTTGGACACAAGAGGAAATTTTTTCACAATGAGAACAATCGGCCATTGGAATAATCTATCCCCAGGGAAGTGGTGGATTCCCCAACATTGGACACTTTTAAGATTCAGCTGGCCAGCGTGCTGGGCTGTGCTTTTGCCAAGAAAGATTGGACCAGATGATCCCTGAGGTCCCTTCCAACCTGGGATTCTATGATTCTGTGATTGTGTGATTCCACGAGCCTGCAGCACACTGGTCCCAGGGGCAGCCTGGGTCCTGCGCTGCTTCTGCACCGAGGAAAGTTGTTTCATGTTCTAAATTCATTACATTAAAACCACTCTGTTTGTCCCCATTCCACAGCAGCAGTTTGAATAAAGCAGCCTGCCTCAGTCAGCCCACCAGCAGCAGAAGGCTACGGGGGGGCTTTGGGGTCACAGCTCCCAAGGGCTTCCTCAGCCCAGAAACATTGCCAGGGATGTAGGTTCCCAGAAGTCTCGACAGTATTTTCCATGTTTCTATAAGTATCAAATGTTGAGTTCATAACACAGCAAAAGCTACTATTTACATACTTCCAAACATCATTACTTTTGGTCCCTGTTAGTCAGAATAGCTTTTGCTATAGTTCCTTTTGGACATGGTTTATCTAGCTGGTGCGGTGGAAGTATTCACCTTGCTTGGACTAGTTCAAACACTGAAACAAACCCAGCCGGTGGGAACTCAGGAGTGGGATCTCTCCTACCCCCGTAAGCCTGACAGGCTCAGGAGGAAGGTTGGCATCCACCCTATAGTCCCCCATGGGATGAGCACTTCAGAAAAGTCTTTCGCCTAATTAAAAGCATTGAAGGCCAAGGTCCCAGGATTCAGTATATGCTTTGTGGGGGTTTCAAAGCTCCCTGTGGGTACCCAGAGCTGTATGAGCCCTTTGGAAATCAAGCTTTCTGGCAAATTGGGCTGCTTTCCCCATGTTTGGGGAGTGAAAAGTTGCTTGCCCCAGGTGAAACAACCCCATTTCCTAATTTTAGTTAATGCTTTCTGTTTAATGAGTTTCTTTCAAATGCAACGTACATTTTTATATGCTTTTTGTTTACTCTGAATATTCAGGTAGTTTTATTTAATGACTGAAAGCCATTTAAAATGCTTTTTGCAGCCCATTTTACATGAAACTACACGTTCCTGCCATTTTGTAGACACGTGGGATGCCCATGGGAACATAAAATAACAATCTGACAAAATAAACACCAAGTTAAATAACTTCTTAAGTAAAAGAGGTATGGCATGGTATACTGATTAGCAGAAAGAGGTGTCATTCAACACCCAGGCTATATTTAGCTGCAGATCAACATATGTTCATACTTCTCAGCTGAATGAGAACGGACTGGATTTTAGGAGAACAATTTTGAAAAGGCAGAAGAGTCACTTGGATGGCACATCATGTCTTTGCTGGATTTCAAGCCATGTAGCTCAGGAGCTGTTTTGACCTTGCTTTGGGCCGGGCACATCTCAAGCAGAGGCTGCCTGCTGAAGCTGAAGGTGCCGGGGGGCTTTCGTGTGAGGTTTGCCATCAGAGGAAGAACAAGATGAGCCGAGTCTGAGGCTCTGCCATAAATACCAAGCTGCTGCTTGTTTAGAATAGCTGCAAAGCAAATGCAAGTATATCTCCAAGATGTCTCCGGTGCCGTCTCCTGGAAGTAGGAGTGTGTTGGCTGGGGCTTCTCCGGGTGTACCAATTTCGTGAGTGTCTGAGCACCAGTGTGCACCAGGCATGGCTGACCTTGCAGAGATGCTGCGTTGCACCAGTCCCCCCTTGCCTAGAGGCTTTGAGAGTTGTTCCAGCTTAGCAGGTCTGGGAACAACCCTTAGGTTCAGCTCTCTGAGCTGTAACTCTCTAAGGGTGAGCTCAGGCCATGCTTCTGGCCCTGTAAGTCCCTGAGGGAACACTCGTCCGGAGGTTCTTCATCGTGTCAGTCTCTCCGTATCTTCTTTCTGATCCTTTCTGAGTATCCTCTTTTCCTATCCCTTTTCCATCACCTCCTCTCCTTTCACCTTCTGCCATTTCCCCATATCTCCTGTTGGTCCTGGCTCTCTGGGTTGGGCTGCATGAGCAGTCTGCAGGGTGATGTTGGGTATCAACAGCCTTCTTTCCCATGCAGCAGTACCGTCGGCTGGTCCCACCTTGCAGGTGCCTGGTGCATGCAAGAGTGATGCTGAGTGCCCTGGACGGGTGTGTGAGATGGGGCCTCTCAGCCACATGCTGTTGCATCTTCTGCATGGTTGAAAAGACGCATGAGTGTTTCTGGCTTGACACAGTATAGGATTTGGCTTCGCTTCAGATTTGTGCAACAGATTTGCCTTCTCTGGAAAGGGAGGCTTTTAACCCTGCAGAGAAGGACTGGGGGAGACAGGTGGGTGACAAATGGGACATCAGACGGCAATGTGCACTCACAGCCCACAAAGCCAAGCGTCTCCTGGGCTGCATCCCCAGCAGCGTGGCCAACAGCGGGAGGGAGGGGATTCTTCCCCTCTGCTCTGCTCTGGGGAGACCCCACCTGGAATATTGCATCCAGCTCGGAAGCCCTCAACATAAGGACACGGAGCTGTTGGAGCAGGTCCAGAGGAGGGCCACGAAGATGCTCCAAGGGCTGGAGCCCCTCTGCTGGGAGGACAGGCTGGGAGAGTTGGGGGGGTTCAGCCTGGAGAAGAGAAGGCCAAAAACGGGAGACCTCAGAGCCCCTTAAGTTCTAAACTGATCGAGGGTGGGGTTAGGTTGGACAGGGGGAAGAAATGTACCACGAGGTTGGTGAGCCCCTGGCGCAGGTTGCCCAGAGAAGCTGTGGCTGCCCCATCCCTGGAGGTGTTCAAGGCCAGGTTGGACAGGGCTTGGAGCAACCTGGTCTAGTGGGAGATGTCCTTGTCCACGGCAGGGGGGTCGGACTGGATGATCTTTGAAGGTCCCTTCCAACCGAAACGACTCTGAGAGTCCACCATTCTGTGACAAGTGTACCCCCAAAGCCCTGAGAAGCTGCTGCTTTGCAGCAAGAGAACAACCTGTCCCCTGTCTGTACCCATGTGAGCTCATAGCTGTAGGTGAGGGCTGAGGTCTGCCATCTGCGCCCTTATGGGTCTAAGGAGCTGCCTAATGCCAACATCACCTTGGGTTGATCACCCTCCCCACCTTCCCCAGTTCCTGGAAGGATCCACAGCTCGTTCCAGCCACTGTTACATGTTTTAGGGTGACAGAGCGTCACTCCCACCAAGGGCGACCCACGACCCCCCTTTGCCAGCTCTTCCCGCCTAAAAAAGGGGTGGGAGCACACGGCGGGGAACAGCTGCTGCCAACAGCCACAGAGGGCAAGGAGCTTGAAGCAGTGTGAGGGCAGCCAGCACCAGCAGAGCTGCTGCTCCGACCCTGCTCGGCAGGCACAACTGAGTCCCATGACCCACTGCTGGCAGTTCTTCACGTTGTGCAAGTGCCATCGGTCAGAGCAAAGCTCCCAGCTGCAGGGTGGATTTTACTGTGTCTTTATAAGCAGTCAAACTGCTCCCTATTTTACTTGCAAGCAAAACTACCTCCAAACACAGCCTTCTACAACCCCAAAAAGCAGTCCAAAGGCTTTTATGTTCTAGCAACCTGTCCTAGTGGGAGATGTCCCTGCCCATGGCATGGGCGGCATTGGTCTGGATGATCTTTGAAGCTCCCTTCCAACCCAAATCATTCTGTGCCTCCATCATCATGAAACTCGATTTCTGGCGTATTGGGGAAAGGGCTCATTCAGGAGACACAAGTGTTTGAATGGAGAATGCACGTGATGCTCTGTCCTGACCTTCCTGGGACATCTTCAGGGCTGTTTGCTGCGCTCAGCCTGGCAGCTGGATCAGACAGCAAGTCAGGCCCCAGGGTGGGGGCTCACGCAGGGGTGTGCTTCCCTCTGGCGGCAGCAGCCAGCATTGGGGAGGTAAATTTGTTTAGCTGGACCCTGGTCAGGCATAATTCCAAGGTTTTCTGGCACGTTTCCTGGAAAACGGAAAGCAGTTTACTAAGGTGAGGGTGCTCTGTGTGGCAGCTCCATCACATCATCTGCCCTGGGCTGGCAGCTCTGCAGGCAGCTGCTTGGTTTGGGGCAGGTTTGGTCCGTCTTGCGCCTGTGCCGGGTCTGGCACATCCCGGCAGCCTGGCAGAGGCAGGCTGGGCTCGACCCAGGGCACCATTGTCACCTCGGCTCTGGGCTGTTTGGGCACAAGCTGTGGTGTGGTGTGAGGAGGATGCTGCCAGCCATGGCCCACGGGACTGCTGCCACTCCGGGGTGTCCTTCCTCTGAGGGTGAAGGCTGTGCTTGCATTGGGCTTGGGTGAGTGGTGTGTCTGGTCCACTCCCCCCAGGCCATGTCACCTGCTGCCACCTGCCCCCCTTGTGCTTTGTCACACTCCTCAGAGCAGCTTGTGGGCTAGAAATGCTTTTTGGGCTGCTAGAAGAGGTGCTCAGGGCTGAGCCTTCCTCTGGCTCAGGGGTGGCAGGTCTCTCCCTCCTGCGGGACGCTCACCCTGCTCTCTCTTCTTCCCTCTGCAGCACTCAACGCTGTCACGCAAGTTCGTGGAGGTGATGTCCGAGTACAACGCCACACAGACTGACTACCGGGAACGCTGCAAGGGCAGGATTCAGAGGCAGCTGGAGATCAGTGAGTAAACCTGGAGAGGGGACACAGCTGCGCTCTGTGCACCGTGGGGCCATCTCTGGTGCTGGGTCAGAGCTGCTCCCGCAGCTACGCAGAGCTCCCCTGTGAAAACCCGGAGGTGCACAGGGGCTGTGGGAGCAACCAGGACATGGCTACTGCTGGGAATAGGCATGTAGTGGTACCTTGCATTTCGGTGTCAAACTACATCCAGCAAAGTGCAAAAACTCCCCTCAGATTTTCTTAAATGCTGCGTAGAGAGTGCAGAGAACACAAGGAGAGAAATGTCTTCCTTGTTTGCAGCTAATTTTGAATTCAAAGAAGCTAGCGGGAATTCCTGACTCCTGAGTGTTGCATTGCCTTTCCTCTGGGTACTTTTCATCGTGGGTGAACTGAACTAAATATAAAACCAGAGAAGTAAGCTCTTGAGATGGGGGCACTTGCAGCTCCCAGCCACTTCCCTTGCTGCAGGAGGAGCACGAGCCTTGGTGCCTGCCCCAGGCAGCTCCCTGGACGCAGGTCCTGATGGCTCTTAGCAGCAATAGTGGTGTCTTCTGGCCAAAGGTGGGCCCCAGGTGACACTTCTGAGGCTGTCACCTCCATGGCATTAAGATCTCCCTGCATTGTTCAGAGCCAGTCGCTGAGGTGAAGTCTGCTCTTAGCTGTCAACAAAACCTGGTGGTTCTTCTGGGCAATCAGTGATACCTGGTTAGTTTTAAAGAAATGTGGTTGTCTCCCAGCGAAGAAGAACCACCATAATTTTGAGAATAAGCAAGCATGGGAGAAGTCAGGGGATGCAGGGTTTAAAGGAGATTTTTTTTGCAAATAATCTCATTGTCAGAGGGGTGTCATGGTTTTTTGTTCTTAAAATGAAAGAGTCTGAAGCCTATTCCAGGTGGTTTTTTTTCTGACAAACAAACTCAGCACGAATAATAATGTAGGAGACCTTTGAGTCAGAATAGTGTCCCTGAAGGTCACCTGTAGGAATGTCCTTCATGAGCCGCAGATGCCTGGGCATCTGGGTGCTGATGGGGTATGGTGGTTTCTGTGGAGGGCTAGAAGGAGACTTGGCTGTGCAAGCCTTTCCTCTGTTAAGATTAGTCTTTATGATGTATAATAATAATAGAAATGTTTCACACTGGCTGAATGGAAAGGTTGACTGACATGAGTCTCAACAAGAACTTGATGTTTAATGTAAAGCAGGATGATGAATGTGTCACTGCTCCAGCTGACTAACTCATTCATCAGCTAATGTCATGCTGTAAGTGATATCCAGCCACAGGGGTGGCTTGTAATGTAAATAGGAATTTAACGTATCTCTATGCCTCCTTTCTAAGAGAGAAGATTTGAAAGGACTTAGGCAGGTCCTTCATTGTCTGCAGACCTGAAAGAAACCTTCCTCTTGTTTTTCTACTCCCAGATTTTGGAAGGACTCTTCTGCTCTGCTTAAATTATGGAGATATATTAAATTATACTCACAGAATCACGGAATCCCAGAATGGTCAGGGTTGGAAGGGACCTCTGGAGCTCACCCAGTCCCACCCCCTGCCAGAGCAGGGGCACCTACAGCAGTTGCACAGGACGGTGTCCAGGCGGGTTTTGAATGTCTCCAGAGTGGGAGACTCCCCCACCTCTCTCGGCAGCCTGTGCCAGTGCTCTGCCACCCTCAAAGGAAAGAAGTTCCTCCTCATGTTAAGATGGAACTTCCTATGGTCAAGTTTGTGCCCATTAGCTCTTGTCATCTCACTGGGCACGACTGAACAAAGACTGTTCCCATCCCCCTGGCACCCTCCCTTGAAGGATTTATAAGCGTTGATAAGATCCCCCCTCAGTCTTCTTTTCTCTAGACTAAAAATACCCAAGTGCCTCAGCCTTTCCTCATAAGAGAGATGTTCTAATCCCCTAATACTCACCTTTGCTCTGTCCATCCTGCCAGGCTGTCGGTGCCTGACAGAACATTGATGGAGCACAAGGAAAAGGCTGCTCAACACTCGCTGTGGTGCAGTGGCTGGGTGCAGAGGAGGTATCCTAGTCGGTGATGGTGAGGGACCTGCTTTCCCTTCGGGGTGGAGGTGTGGAGCAGATGCAGTATGGGATCTGTGCTGGGAAGGTACACAATCCTGCGTGCTCTATTTTGCAAAAGCTGGGTTCCTCTGTCAGGACAGCAGAAAATCTCTTCTGGCAAAAAGGCTTGTCAAAAGCAACAAGCTTATTGAGGTTTTATCAGGAGTGCTTCCTGGGCAGAGGGCTCTGCTCGTCCTGGGGTGTCTCAGCCAGCACCTTCAGTCCCTGCTGCTCCGGGGGCTCTTGAACAGGCTCTTTTGAACGGAGCTCAGCTGGGATGTGGCAACTGCACAAAGCTCTATGAAATCCTCAGCTCTCATTTTCAGCTGATGGATCCAAAGATAGAAAGTGCCGGGAGCTCTGACAGCAAAGCCAGTAAATTACTTGGGTTTTGAAAGTAAGAGAGCAGGGACTTCTCAGCTGCTCTGGGGAGGCTCCCCAGCCCTTGGTGAGCTTCTCCATCCTAACTGTATCTGTTTCTTGCTCTGGAAGTAGGACAGTTGCAGAAGAAATGGTGATGTAGAGTCACTGTCTCAGGCTGCAGCCACCCCCTGGGGCTCCCCACAGCCCTCTCAGGGTTTGCCCCTTCTTCTTGTGTAGGCACCACCATGTCTGTGTGTGCCAGAGTAGTGCCTCAGTGACCCTCTCTGAGCTGGAGAGCCTGTCTGACATGATGAAGTGGGTATCATCTCCTCTCCCACTGCTTCTACCCCAGCCTTAATCGTTGCCCTCCCCCCCCGCAACCCCTTACTCACTCACTTTGCTCCCAAACACACCCAGACTGCAGATGCCATGGAGGGATCGCAGGATGTGCCGTGTCCTGGGGTTGGTGATGGCAGGACAGATGCTCGGTGGCTGTCCTCTGCCTGGACCGTGCCTCCCAGCCATGTCTGCCGGCTGGGAGCCGTGATACCCTGGCACCAGCCTCCGTGCTGCCTGCGGTGGGAGGTGTCGCTCCTTCGGTTTTTTCCTCTCTGTTTTGTCCATTATGAGAAATGACATCTTAAATCTAATTAGGATTTGCTCCCAGAGAAATTGGACTTGAGGTTTGGAGGAGCTGTCTGTGGTGGGTATGCAGCTTTGAAGCCATGGAAGCACTGCACAGACGCTGCTTGTTTTTATGAACAGTTTTGTTATGTGCGAGACCGAGGAGCCAAAAATAAAGCATCTGCCATCTCCAAAGGCACTGTGAGAATTAATCAACCTGCGCCCCGCTGTGCGAGACCAGGTTAACTGATGTGCAGAAAGGCAAGCTGTGGATGTATCCCAAGCTGCCCTTGAGCCAGGGGAGTCTGGGGGCTGCTCTGGCTCTGTGGGTGCTTGTGCAGCCCTGCCGCTGGGAGGAGGGATGCTGCAAGCTGAAGGAGCCCAGCTGAGCCATTACAGCTAATACAGCCATGGTATGTTTGACTTCTGCAGCGTTGGGGTGCCTGAAGTTGTCCCTATTTATGGAATGTCTGGCATACAGAATTGGGCAAACTGGCATTTGGCATCAGCTGTATGATGGGTGTGAGTTGTGGCACTGGAGGCTTTCCTGGGAGCTTCCCCAGGGTCTTGCACGCCCTGATGGAGCTGTTCCTGCCCCATCCCCTGGGAGCTGGTCATTGGGGACAGTCACTCCATCCAGCTGGACATCACAGGACTGTGCGGTGGCCTTGAGGTGGAAAGTGTCTTTGGTGGCTTCATGTCTCTGCCTGTCCCAGAGCTTTTGATAGCCCTGCTGCACCATGACCCGTGCATTGTCTCTCGCCATTCTGTCCTTGCCAGCTCAGGGATGAGTTTGCTTCTCCCTCTACGCTGCAGCTCCCAGTGATGCTCTGTGGTGCTTTGCTCATTGGCAGAGCTTCTTCTCCCCAGGAAACTCGAATTTCTAGAGATGCCAAGTAAGAAGTAGATGTCCTCTGGAGCTCTCTGGGGAGGCAGAGGTCCAGCTCTCATGATTTTCCAGTGTTTTTCCAAGTTTCAGGCCAGGGGTTTTCCCCCAGGCTTTTCCCCCTTTGTGGGCACCTTGCATTGACTCAGTCCTTTTACTCCCATTTGTGGCTGCGGAGCAGCTCTGGGGTGATGTGGGCAGCAGATCAACCAAGTATCCATCATGCTTTCATCTGATTTTATTGCTGTTGAGGAGCTAATGACAGCCTTTCCAAACCAAGAAACATAGCCAGAAAGCGGTGGACTCCCTGGGAAGTCCTTGGGTGTCCTGCAGGTTGTTTATACAGCTTTGGCTAACTTTGTGGTGGACAGTGTGGGTGAGATGCAGCCTCCAGGCCTTGTGCTTTGGCTCAGCCTGACCAGCTATGGCCTTTGGCCAAGCCTGCACTTGCTGGCTGGTTGTTAATCCATGTGATGTCTTTGCTCTTGCCACAACCTTTACCAGTCCCATGCTCTGCAACAGGGGAACAGGGCAGCGAGGAAGTGGTGAGAGCCAGGATGAGAACGTGTATCCTGCATCCCATCCCTCTTCTGCCTGCGAGAGACGTGGCATCTCCTGGAGCTGATCCCACTGCTTGCCCTCGGGGCTGTCTCTTGGGCTTGAATTGGCCAGAGCAAGTAGCCCTTGATGCACTGTGCTCCTTGTCCCTGTGCCAGTGACTGCTCAGAGTTGAGCACAGTCAACAGGAGGGTTTGTGAATCTGTGCTGTTTGAGCCCTTGTTCTCCCTTCCCAGTTTCAGCTGAGAGTGAGGAGCCAACAGGCAAGAAGGGGGTGTTGTGGGTCGCCCTTGGTGGGAGTGACGCTCTGTCACCCTAAAACATGTAATGGTGGCTGGAAATGGGCTGTGGATCGTTCCTGGAACTGGGGAAGATGGGGAAGGTGATCAACCCAAGGGGACATTTGCATTATGCAGCTCCTTAGACTCATAAGCGTGCAGATGGCAGAGCTCAGCCCTCACCTGCAGCTACGGGCTCACATGGGTACAGACAGGGGACGGGTTGTTCTCTTGCTGCAAAGCAGCAGCTTCTCAGGGCTCTTGGGGCACTAACAGGGCTTAGTTGTCTATACCAGCCTCACACGGGACTTGTACCTCTGCAAGGGGGTAGAGGTGGGTCCAGGAACTGTGTAAGATCAGGCCTGGGCCACCCAGCCCAGCCATGCTGCAGGGGTACCTGTCTTCAGCCACAACTCTGGCCTTGTTCCCAGGGTGGGCTCAGGTCCAAGATAGCTTGTCTCCAGCTCTGTCTTCTGGGACTTTGGATCTTTGTTGTAGTCATGTCATAGGATCAGGGACTCATGGAATAGTTTGGGTTGGAAAGGACCTTCAGAGATCACCCACTCCAACCCCCCTGCCATGGGCAAGGAGTCTCCCACTAGACCAGGTTGCTCCAAGCCCCATCCAACCTGGCCTTGAACACCTCCAGGGATGGGGCAGCCACAGCTTCTCTGGGCAACCTGCGCCAGTGTCTCACCACCCTCATGATACAACATTTCTTCCCCATGTCCAACCTAACCCCACCCTCAGTCAGTTTAGAACTGCTGCTCCTTGTCCTGTCCCTGCAGGCGCTGGTCAAAAGTCTCTCTCCCTCTTTCCTATAACCCCCTTTAAGTACTGAGCGGCCGCAGTAAGGTCTGTGCGGAGCCGTCTCTTCTCCTGGCTGCGCAACCCCAACTCTCTCAGCCTTTCTCCACAGCAGAGGTGTTCCAGCCCTTGGAGCATTTTGCTAGCCTCCTCTGACCAGGTCCACGCCTGCCTTGTGCTGGGGACCCCAGGGCTGGAGGCGGGTCCTGCAGAGGGGGTGTGAGGAGAGCAGAGCAGAGGGGGAGCATCCCCTCCCTCTTGCTGTTGGCCACGCTGCTGGGGATGCAGCCCAGGAGACGCTTGGCTTTGTGGGCTGTGAGTGCACATTGCCATCTGATGTCCCATTTGTCACCCACCAGTCTCCCCCAGTCCACAGGGCGCTCTCCATCCCTCCATCCATCCATCCATCCATCCATCCTTCCCCCAGTCTGTGCTGGTACTGGGGGTTGCCCCAATGTAGGTGCAGGACCTTGCAAAGAAAGAGACATGTAATGAAGTGTGGAGATGTCTGTGTTGGAGGAACTCCCCAGGCAGAGTGGCAGCATGCACCATGCCTGCTGGGTGGTCGTCAGACATGGCTGCGCAAGCAGGCCCTCCCCCCCCACAGATGCTCCCTGGGGCACTGCATCACTTGTGGTGAAGGTCTGGACTGGGTTCAAGGTTTTGGGCATCTCCCTGGTCTGAGCCCCTGCTGCAGTGCTGCTGGAAGCAGGTAGCATTGTCCTGTGGGCTGCCCCTGGGCTCTGCCATGTCTCCTCCATTTTCCCATTCAGAGGTGCCCTGGACTCATCCTGGAGGATGTTAATATCCCTTTCAATACCACTGACAGAGCCTGCAGGCAGCATGTCACAGGCAAGCACCATACCAGAGCCCAGCCCTTCCCTGCCGGCCCTTCTGCTGGTTTTGGGTTTGTCAGGCTTGGTAAAGTTGCTTCATTAGCTGCTCCTGCCCATCTGCTCCTGATCATGCCGGTGGGATGCCTCCTGCTCTCTCTGTGTGACCTGCTCCCACTGGGCAGTCCCAGCAAAAGCCTGCCCAGTGCCACCGTCTCTGTTTAGCACTATAATTTCACGGGTCCAACCCGGCTGTTAGCCTGAAGAACACACTGCAATTAATGGTGGAGGATCAGTATAACTCATAGAGTGATTAATATCGCTCTCCTCTGTAGCAGTGTATGTAGTATGTCCATGGGAAAGGGAAGGCAAACCATGCACAACGGGGAATTCCTTCCAAAGGAGCTGTGGGGTTGAAGGTACCACCCTGGGGACGAGGAGGAGGGCTGTGTCACATGGGGAAGGATGGAGCCTGGTTTCTGTTATGCAGCTGCAGGGCTAAAACTCAGACAGCCCAGCGACTGCACCAGTGCCTGCTAGGCCAGCGAGCCCTGCTGAGCCCAGTGTGCTCGTGGCCTTGAACTGGCCTGAGATGGGCTTTGCCAAGAGCATCCCTGCTCTTGGCCTTCTGCTCTCCATCCCTCCTCCTGCACAGCTCACCAACTGGGTGCTGGTGGCTGCCAGTCCTTTGGCACCACTCCCTGCCCTGCAGGAATGGGCAGCTTGACCAGGAGGCAGCTGGCAGCTTGACCCCCCTTAAAAAGAGGAGTCGCAGCGCTAGTACAAAGCTGGGCTGCGGGATGGCAGCCCCTCAAAGTGTCCACTGCACTCTCGGGATTGGAAGGTTTGCTCTGCTCCACTCTCAGGAGATGCCACAGAGCCAGCAGAGCCCTGCAGTAGGGCTACGGGATGTGGCTGGGACAGAGGGCTCATGGCTGACCCATGTTGTGTCACTTGCAGCTGGCAGGACTACCACCAGTGAGGAGCTGGAGGACATGCTGGAGAGCGGCAACCCGGCCATCTTCTCCTCCGGGGTAAGCGTTGGCACAGGCTAAAGCCAAGCCAGCCCCCTTGTCCCCGGGGGCTTGGCTGGTGGACGTGCTGCCACAGTGGTCCCAGTACAAGAGTGATGAGCACAGCCCATGCAGGAGGTGGGACCTGGGTGCTCAGGTCTGGCCTGACGATGCTGCCTGAGTAGGGGCTGCATCCTGGCTGGAGGGTAGGGCAGCGGTTTGCTGCAAACTGCTGAGCTCCGGCTCTTCCCTCTCTTGGGGCCCCTATTCCTGGCATCTGAGGGGCTGAGTGTGATGATGAGATGTGAGTGGCCCTATTTTGTTGCAGATCATTATGGATTCAAACATCACCAAGCAGGCACTGAATGAGATTGAGACGCGACACAGTGAGATCATCAAACTGGAGAACAGCATCCGAGAGCTGCACGACATGTTCATGGACATGGCCATGTTGGTGGAGAGCCAGGTAGGAGACACTGTGGCGCAGTGGCTGGCTCACCTAGAGTGAGAGGTTGGAGTGCGATGGGGCTACCGGTGGTCCCCTGGCTGGGGAAAAACTGTATTTGGGACCAACGCAGTTCCCACTGGGGCTGAGCTGGGCTCCCTGGGGCTGGAGCCACCCACCCTGCATCCCAGAGGCGGGGGCTGCTGTGTGCCTGGGGTGGGTGGTTTGGTGATGGACTTTGGAGGGCAATGGGTGGCTGCCATGCAGGCGAAGATTTCTCCATCTCCCCTGGAGCACTGGGCCCTGCCTTGTGAGCTCAGGATGCCGCCAGCCTCGGTGGTCCTGCCAGGCCACCCCTGGCTGTGCCACCAGCCCACGGCACCTGGCCCTTCAGCTGGGCATGCGCTCCAGCATCTCTGCTCACCCCCCCTTCTTGCCCGCCATGCTGCCACGGCCCGAGGAGACATCAGTGGCAGGTAAAGCCCCACCAAGTCCCCGCCAGTGCTGCATGCTCTGCTCTGCATGGCTGTGCTCTGCATGTCTGTGGCTCTCGCATGGCGCTAGGGCCTGCCTGTGGCAGGAGGGAAAGGGTGGCTGTGGCACTTGTGGTGTTGGTGCCCCCTCCTGTTTGCCTTGGGGGACAGATGTGGGGCATTTGTAGTTCTCTGCCCTGCTGTAACAGCTAGAGCGTTTCTCTGTGGGGTGGGAGGCTCTGAGCTGCTGGCACCAGGAGCAGAGGGGTGCTGGGCTGACAGCAGTGGTGGCAGCTGCCTGCTCTGCCCCAGGCATGGCACGGGTGGGAGGGAGAAGCAGCAGCTTTAGGCAAGGCAGGGAGCAGCAAGGGGGTAATACCAAAGCACCCCTGGGCTTGCAAGGCTCGTCCTCCCCATGCTCTCCAGCATTAGGCTGAGAAAGGAACATTGCAGAGCTGCTGGCCATGACCTGTGCAGGATGGCACTGGGCTTCAAGCCACCAACCCTGTTGGTCACATGAATGACACGTTTTGTATCCAGCTACTGCAGGACCTGGCTGCTTCCCTGTGCAGCCAAAGGAGGTGGACAGGCTGGGGACACTCACCCCGGTCTGTGTCCGCAGGAGTCCACATCCCCAGCCCACCCCTGCAGCTGGTGGGGCAGAGCGGGGTAGGAGTCCCTGCAGGGCCCTGCAGTCTGGCCTTGCCAGCATCACTCCGGGGTCCTCTGCGCTCAGCAGGGTGCTTGTGCAGATCAGAGCGGTTGTCCCTGCATGCGTGTGGTTTTGTGAGCATCCAACAAGCTGCTGCTGGTGTGGTCCTTGCTCCCCCACCATACCACCTGTTTCAGCAGCATGCTGTGTGGTGTCGGTGTAGATCCTGTTGTGGCTTTGATATCACCTGAGATACCAGACAGGGTGGCCAGCAAGCCAGGATGGGACTGGGGAACCCCTGTGACCTCCCTCACCCTCGCTTGCCTCCCTGCTGGGATGAGCACAGAGGTCTCAGCCCTCTGGGACAGAGCCCATGGTCCAGAGCCCCGGCCCTGGGGCACCTACAGCCTGCAGGCATCTGACAGTCCCTCTTTCTCCTGTGCAGGGCTGTAGGGCAAGGTGACATCCATAAGGTACCGGGGAGTAGCAGAGCAGGAAGGAGCTCAAGTCTGCACGCGCATGGGCTCTGTCCCCGCTCTGCAGGGTGAGATGATTGACCGCATCGAGTACAACGTGGAGCACTCGGTGGACTATGTGGAGCGGGCCGTCTCTGACACCAAAAAGGCGGTGAAGTACCAGAGCAAAGCCAGACGGGTGAGTCACAGCACTGTCTGGGGCCCATCCTTCCCTGCCTACACTGCTGACATCTCCATCCCACGGGCAGGCCCCTGCCTGCCCAGCACAGAGGGGCAGGCAGCATGGCGCAGCCTCACGGGTGCCTGGGCACTGCTTTACCCCACACCACTGGATGCAGCACAGGTCCCGCTGGTGGCACCAGCTGAGGCAGAGCTCCCTGGCACAGGCTGCCTGAGCGCTTATGATGAGCCACGGGGTGTGTGTGCTTCCTGGGGGAAGGCAAAGGGACAGGGTGGATCATGTGGGCCAGACCTGCTGTGAGAACCACGTCCCTTGGCAAAAGTCAAGAAAAGGCATGGTCCAGCTCTGACCCTGAGCGCAGTGCCAGCTGCCTATCCTGGTGCCCACACCTGGTCCCATATCAGCTTGGCAGCTCAGGGACCCAGGGGCCACCAGCTCAGCTCTGCCAGCCCAGGGCTGAAGGGGGAGCTGGGATGCCTGTCCCTGCCCTGGGGCTGCTGGAGCCCCTCTGGGTCCCATGGTGCTGCTCAGAGCTCACCATGGGCAAACAGGGACAAGGCAGATGGCAGCCCCCAGCTCTCGGGGGCCAGCCTGTTACCAACACTCACAGTCCCCTCTCCCTTCTCTCCCTGCCTGCGCTGGGACGTCTGAGCAGAAGAAGATCATGATCATAATCTGCTGTGTGATCCTGGGTATCGTCATTGCCTCCACCTTCGGCGGCATTTTCGGCTAGACTCACCCCACGGGACTGTTTGTGTGCGATGGACGGAGCCACGCGTGCCGTGGGGCCGCAGCCGCGCCGGAGTGAACCACGCAGCCCCGGAGCCTCCCAGCAGCATTTCAGTTTCTAATGCATGGTTGTTTGTGACGCTGTGTGTGCGGTGCGGTGCGTCTATGTGGAGGGAGCGCCGGCCCCGGGGTGTAGGCAGGGTGCAGGGGACGGTGATGGGTGCAAGGGGGACCCTGAGGGGGGAACCCGAGTTCTCATCACTGCTCCAGCCTAGGTGGCTGGCTGGGACCAGGTGGGAACAGAGATGCCCTTGGGCGCTGCTGCTCCTCCTGCGCTGGGCAGTCTGTGTTAGTGACAGGCGAGGATGAAGAGGGACTGATGAAGGGTGTTAGGGGTCCACGGGAGCACAGTGCCCAGTCCCAGCTTCCCCATCAGCTCCAGCCAGAGCTCTCATGTCTGTCAGCCACATCTGTGCTTGCAAACACCTTTCCTTGGGCTGCTTCTCTCACGGGGCCCTTCCCCAGGGGTGCACTCTGCCAAGCCCTGCCTCCCCCTGTCCCTGCCTGTCCCGTGGCCATGCCATCTCCCTCCCTTGGCAAGCCCTCGCCCTGGTGTGGATGCCAGGGGCCGGACGTGCCACTGCTGGCAATAGGTGCCTGGTGGAGCAGGGTGGGATGAGAAGCTGCTGCTGGGGGCCACCACAGTTGCTTGGGGACTGGGACAGGCCACGTGGGGACCTGTGCTGCACCCTGGTGCTGGCCCGGCAGGGCACGAAGGCACAGGTACTTAAAGACCAGCATGTCTCAAACTGGCTGCTTGACCTGCACCAAAGCCTCATCTTTCTGTTCTCAGCCCCGGCACATGGTGGCCCTGGCTCCTGCTGCCCCCAGGCCTGCACTCTGGCTGTCGGGCTTTGGGGCTGGCTCCGATGCCTGCAGCCCCTGGCAATGCTTGCCTGGGAGCAGGGTTGCTTCCAGCCTCACTACTCCACATAGGCACCCATGGCTGGGGGTTGGAGGCAGTTGGGCTTTCTCCTGTCATGGTCCCAGAGCAGCCCTTGTTGCATCCATCCCCCTGCAAGCTCGGAGCAGCAGCCTTCCTCCTCCTCTATCCTCCTGAGTAGGGCAGAGCCTGACTGCCCCTTCAGCACCTCTTGGCATCCACCTGCCCCTGCCACCTCCTCCCAGCACAGCGCCCTTCTTCCTGCTCATCCCCTGGGCCATCCAGTGAGGCACCTGCACCCGGTGGGGTGCTGAGGGAGCACCTGGGTGCCCTGTGCCCTCCGCCATGCCCACTACGTGGACATAGCCCCTGTGGGGTGGCCTGAGCCTGCTGGCAGCTCGGAGGGGCCCTGTGTTGCCACTCCGTTTTCCTCAGGCTGGGGACAGGGCTCTGCCCTCGCATTCCTCCCGACACTCCAGGGCTCCAGCTGGCCCATGCACATGCCAAAGCACCACAGAGGAGCCCAGAGCAGAGTAGGCACCTGGGGCCAAGCTCAGCCACACACTGGGACAGGGGCTAGACATGAGCCCAGACGCTGGCAGCAGAAACAGGGCACTCAATGGCAGCGAGTACTCCAGCTGCAGGCAGTGTGTCACCTTCCTGCTCCAGCCAGGGTGAGGGCAGGGCTGCTCGTCCACCCTGGCTGGCTGCTGTAGCACGGGCGCCGGCCCCGTGCGTGGTGGC